AATTAATCCTTACCAACACGAATCCGAAAATCCAGGGCAGGCGATTGACAGAGACTTCCCAACCCAGGAGTTGGGGCGAATCCCCATTACGTCCCACTATACTTTCTCTGCCCTAGTCGCCTCATCTACCCTCTCCGCACCCTTAATCACCTGGCTCACTCTAATGGTCATCTCATTCAGCATCATCATGCCCCTTTCTTCTTTGAGYCCCACTTATGGTTTTGCTGGCTCCCACCGCGACCCTCGGCGCCTTGCCTATCATTCCCACGACCTTCATTGCCGCGTCCATCATTTTAACGGCCCGTGTTGCCACACCCGCCATCTCTACGGCCCGTATTGCCACGCTTGCCATCTCCACGGCCCCTTCTAACTGTCCGCCTTTGACCTTTTGCGTTGGCCCTGCCGCCTTGTGRCACTTGTTGCGACGGTAGTTGTAACTGTCTCCCTTGCTGGGCTTGGGCTACCAAAGGCCTGGGTACCATCTCAGGATCGTTATTGGTCGGGTGCTCCTCACCTAGCCAGTACTTATGCCTCATGTCATCACAAAATTTTCCCCATGATGACCTCGCTCCTTTAACCACTCTATCAACTTCATCCCTCAGCTCTAYATGGATAAACCCCATGACCTCTTCCAGCATTCGCACCTCGCTCCATTTGTAGTGGGATGCTATCTGTTCAAACTTGTCAAGGAAATCGGAGACATGATAACCCCTGAAGAAAGCTATCTCAATCGCATACCCTATACCTATCTGATCGTACGGCATCCACCGCCGATATAATGTCTGCTYGGCCACCGAAGGCCCCCTTTGAGCAGTTCCGCCTCCCATTCCTAGCGGAGTGACTACCTCTTGTTGCGAGCACTGCCCTTCTCCGGTATCGTGACCTCCCTTGGCCCAACCCCTCGCCTCTGGCTGAGCCTTTGTTGGTTWGGGAGACTCAATCTCCCCTTTTCTTCCCATCACACCCTTTTCCTTACTTYCTTGAGAGATAAGGTCAGTCCCTCTCCAATGATCACATACCACCGTCACCCATTGCTCTGGCCACCATCCACTCTTTTGCCTTCCCCGACCTGCGGCGGAGGATCCTTCCAAGTTAACAAGCCCTCTCTCTGGGTCCGGCGCAATAACAAGCAGGGTCATATTAGCACCCCGCTCCTCCTTTATTTCAATAAATYCTTCGTCTTCGTCGCTCGCCCGAGCACCGGCCCGCCTCTTTGGGGCTCCTATCGAGAGGGGTGACTCTTGGCCATCCTCCTCCACTCCTCTTTCACCCTGGTCATCCGGCTCACTTKGGGAACCTTCTGAAACCTTCCGCTTGCCTCTCCTGGCCTCCTCCAGCCGTGCTAACCTYTCTTCCAATGCTCCCACTTGTCTCTGCAATCCACTCAACTCTGCCTGCGATAGGGCACCCACAACAGGTTTCACAGAGCATTCTCCACATTGGCCTTCTATTCCATCCTCTGACAATCTTAGCCTTAAGGAACTCTCCAACTCATCCCACGTCTTCGCCTTCTGCTTGAGGGTATATACCTCCTCACTTTGTCCTTCACATACGAACAAGGGGAACATGTACAAAATCGCCTTCTTATTCCACTTCTTCATAA